GAGAGTAAAGGGCAGACTGGGACACAGTCTGATATGCATGTTTTTTATTTGCCAAAGCAATTCACATTTAGAACTAAACGTGATGCAGCTTTGGAAGAATGATTCCCTGGAGATATAATGGAGATGGCAAATTGGTGCTGAATTTTTTAAAGAGTATTAGTGACATCTACCCATTAAATTTTATTTTACTTTTATTATATATTACTTGAGGTATTGCTCCATGGACAGGGTTCATAATGACATATCTTGTCCATCGAGCTTAGTTTGTGGTTATAATTGAGTTTGATTCAAGCTTTGTTAAAATTTTCACTCTATTTTAAGTCAATATTGCTCGCCATGTTTCTCTTCTTTTGCTATGTAAGCCCTTTCCCCAGCTTGTTTGCTTTGACCAATGATGGCCTCACTTAACCTAGCCCGTAACCACCTCTGGTTTTCCCTTCAATTGTAAACATCTTTCAAGTTATCTAAACGTGAATGTACGCACCAACACTAGCTGTGAGGAAACTGAAGGTGCGGAAAGGGCCTTTCAATTCATAGTTGGAACTCGCCCTCTGAGTTATCTTGACATCCCCCTAGAGGATAACTCAAACATAAGCTAAGGAAACTGATTCTAGATAAAATTCATAGAAGCTGAAGTGGAAAATAATTATTATGCATAATAGGGTAGACTTCTAGCACAATCTGTCAGGACCTAAAAGGTAATTAAAATAAGCTTATTGTATGACAGGTCCTTCATGCAGAGTTAATACCCTGGATAGGGAGTACCTGAAGACCTCGATCATTTTTCCGGACTTGTGTGTTCACTTGGTCAGTTTGGAGTTATATTTTTCGGTTCTTCAGTCTTAGCTTGGTTCAATCTAGAGATTTGTTGCTCCATGTTGGAGGAGTTTTTCCTTCACTCAACCCTTTCGTGATAAGGGTTGTTTTTTTGTGGCTTGCCATCTTTTTTGCTATTTTATGTGGTGTTTGAAGTGAAAGAAAGAATAGCGTTAATAGAAGGGTTGAAATTCCTTGTTAGGTTCCATGTCCACCTTTGGGCCTTGGTGTGTAAGCTCTGATGGTGTAAAGAACTACCATGGATCGAGTTAGTGATACCACGACATATGATAAAAATAAGAAGATTTTTGGGGAATGAGATCAAACCTATGGTGTCAACTTATCTAGGATATTAAAATCCTAGAGTTTCTAGCCTACTAATATGGTTGCTAGTTGGTTGTCTTGTGAGATTAGTGAATTGGTGTCTTCTATCGTGAAGAGAAAATTAATGGTGTGTGGCCTTATTTAGAAGTTTTTTTAATGTATTCTTACTAATTAAGGGTGAGATCTTGTCTAGTTCCTTGATTATATATTTTATTGTGTGGTAATATTATTAAAAGATCACCATTCTAAGAAAAGAACACAAAGGTAAAATTCGTTTTATTAGTTAGATATTGATTAAAGTGCATCAGAAGTGATCGATAATTATTTCATCTTTTACTTTCCTTTCATTTAGGTTTTGTTTATTTCCCCTTTCAAAAATGAAATCTGGACTGTAAAGCATTTTTTGAGTAACTATATACTGAATTGGTGATGCAGCTGGAATTGTCCTTTTTCTTCTAGTGGAGAAGGTAGTAAGGTATGTGGAAGATAATTCTGCAGGAGGAAATGAATGGAGCCATGGTCATCACCACCACCATAACAATAAAAAATGGAAGGATGATAGTGATTATCATGACACCACTGATAAAAAAAGCAAGGCCAAACTGGAATTGGATGCAGTGCCAAATAACTCGAAAGAAGATAAGGTTAATCCACAGAGATCCATCCCTCAGAAGGTAAGCTGTTGAGTTGGCATAACCTTTTATATAGCAATATAGAACTTGTTTGATCTTTTTAAGAAACAAATTGGCCTCATATAAATTTAATATTATATTTGTAATGAATATAATGTATAGATCTATCTGCCTAGGAGGATTAGAAGAAGCTCCTTCAATCTAAATTAATAAAAATGCTGCTGTAATTAGAAGTCACTAGGATTGGCATTGGTAACTGCTGTGCATTTTCCAGAAATCATTGAAAAACTCAAGTCAGTTTAAAGATTCTGTTACTTCTTTCTAACCACAAGGACCAAATCAAGTCCACAGAGCAGTATTCGACAAAATTCTAGCTTTCTGCTTCAAGCACTTCCAAAAGTCGTAGGTGACATTGTTTCTAGAGACAGAATGAAGATGCTCCTTTTACTATCAATATTATAACCATTTGTGGCAATTGGGTTTCCTTTTGTTGTATTTCAATGAAAACTATTCTCAGGTTTATATGGTTCAGCATGGCACCCCTCAAGACTTCTATATCAAATTTATTGACGTCTTGAACAGACTTCTGATGTCAACACCACTAATAGTCAATAACTACGAAGATTTACATGTTCATATAATCGTGAATATTACTATTCTTATTATAAAATTGTCAAGTGTCACTATTGGGGTATTTGGTTGAACTACTAATTACAGGACGACTTCATTAGATGAATGTTCCTAAGTTTTTGATATATCTTCTCTGACTTACTAGACTTATGCAGAGAATTGGAAAATCTGCTTCCAGAGATGTTAAGCAAGATCTAGATGCTGCTAATGGCACCACTGCTGATGTCAAAACATCACAAGAATTCCCAGCTAAGACACCGTCAAATTTAGTGTTTGGTTATCTCAATCTCTTCTCAGATGGCGTTGTATGTTTATCTCGATGCTTAACTTCTTCCATATTGGTGTTCAAACTTCCTGTTTAATTTTTTATTATTTTCCTGTAAAAACTATTGAACTTCAATATAATCTAATGCTAGGAGACTATTGATATATACTTGAGGGTTAATATTTGTTGGCGTTGCAGCACAATTTCACTGATGGGATGGCCTTAGGAAGTGCTTTCTTACTATATGGATCAGTTGGTGGGTGGTCCAGAACTGTGTTTCTGCTTGCACACGAGCTCCCGCAAGAGGTTCATCTTCTTTCTTGACTATCATTATTTGAATATCAGGCACTTCATTTGATCAGCTTGGTAACTGAGAAAGATAACATCCTCCATGCTCCCCGATACTTTCTCACGTTAAAATTACATTTCATCTTTGATTAAATTGTCTTCTTTATTTCCCCAATTTTTCGTAAAAGGCGTGCCTGTCTGTCTTTAACCCTGAGATTTGTGCCCCTTTTCTTCTTTTCTTATCTCAGTTTTGACCAAGCTTCTAAGTTCTAGCTTTAAACAATGGGTTTTGGATTCAATATTTCTGTTCCCTTACTTTCCTGTCCCTTGGCATGCGCATGATTATTTGTCACATAATCCCGAGGATAAAATTAGCAAATGTGGTTCTTACTGTACAATAGCTCCATGTACTTCATAAATCATGCTATTGAGTGATGTCGTTAAGCTCAGCTAGAGAAATTTGTAAAATTGGAAGGTATGTTTGTTTATGAATCTGATTCTTGCGGTTTGGTTAAATCATCTACATGTGTACTTTCAGTTTTTTTTTTTTTCCTTAATGGAGGTACAAATAAAAACTAAAAATCAGCTATACTTTGCCAATTGAACCATCGTTGGTTGAACCATCTGTCTCTACATTGTAAGCTTATTAGGAATTTATGTAACTCTGCAATATCCCACTAGTCACCAGTCATGATTCCTGCCTTGCACGGGACATTGTAGCGTTACAAATCGGACAGCACCCATGATTTATGAACTTCAGGTTTTTTTTGTTAGTATGTTCTTGTGATGAAACACGTATCTCCTTTTTATTGTTTTATTTCTCGTTTTATGTGTTTGTTTAGTTTTTGAGTGTCTGCTTTTGGTACAGATTGGCGATTTTGGTATTTTGGTCAGATCCGGTTTCAGTGTTGTCAAAGCCCTTTTCTTCAACTTCCTCTCAGCACTCGTGGCTCTTGCAGGAACTGCATTAGTAAGTACTTTTTCTGTAAGCGCTGCATAATATCATTCCATGAAGGTGAATAGACCATTCAATTATCGATCTACTATGACATCTGTAGGCACTGCTAATGGGGAAGGATCCAGGACACTCATCTTTGATCGAGGTGAGAAATAGCTGCTGAAACTCTGTATTGTGTTCGCTTAGGACTAATTCTTATTGAGACGATTTAAACATCCTCAGGGCTTCACCGCTGGTGGCTTCATATACATTGCGGTTGCTGGAGTGCTAGCCGAAATGAATAGTAACAGTAAACCAACAGTAAGAACAACCGCGCTTCAATTAACTTCACTTGTACTGGGAATGGCTGTCGCGCTTGGTATTTCACTTGTTGAATAAATCAGAGTACATTTAGGTGGGCTCTATGTGTTCATATCTGTACTTGGCTCCCCGCATATACACACTGATTAAACTAAATATGTTCATATTTGATCCATTTTGTATCTGCTTAGTAACCATCAATTAGTGTAGTTCGAAGGGATGGCAATTGAAAGATACAGCCGTTGATCTTATAATGGGAGACTCGCAGATCTGTGTTCTTGTGCAAGATTTATATGCCTTCTCTCTTAGCCTTTATTTCTCTTTCGAATTTAACATTCTTTCTCAAACATATCCATCCCTCGAATTCATCTAATTAAAAATGCAATGGAGTTTACCTTCTAAATTTATGCTCATGCCATACTTTTTAATTTTTTAGTTTTGTATTTAATTGGTCATTGAATTTTAGAAGTGCTTAATGTATTTGAGCTTTCAATTTTTCTTTTTTTAATAAATTCTTGTCTTTTAGATATTTTTTAAAAAAACATTCACTTATTAGATTAAAAGAAAGTTATTAGGGTCCTTGTAGGCATGAAATCTAATTATTATTATTTTTATTGATTTCTTTCTGATAGTAAAAGGGTATTTGGATATAGAATTAAAATTTGGGATCTATTTTGACAATTGGGGGAGGAGCGGAGAATGGATATTAGTTTAGAAAAGGTAATGTGTGTGGGTTTGCATTATATACTCGAGTCCATGTCTCCCACTTCCTTCTCAGTAAATTTACTTTTTCCTTTATACCAAACCCCTCCATACTTCACTTTAACAATTGGAGTCCACAACGGCACAGTTTCAACTTTACCAAATACACAAAAACCAAACACAAAATATGTCTTCTGATTCACACCCATATCATATCTCTCAACACAAAATATCCATATCCATATCTATGTATATAAAATAATAATCACTAAACATATCAAAATATATTTGCATTATCTGTCACTTGGGTAATTTGACCTTATAGCTGCCGTGCCTTTTTGTTTCATTGTCAAGACTCAAATTTGTCCAACTGCTGAAGCATTTGGAAGATGGTGAAGTTCTGGGTGGTCGGCAGCAGAGGAACCGGCGACATTCCTCCCATCAGGTGGTCGGGTCGGCTGAGCGTATGGTGGTGCCGCTTCCGCACCACCCTCACCGCCGTCTCGGCTGATGCTTTAACTTCTCTAGACACTTCTGTTCTTTTCCTCCAGCTTTCTGGTGCCCTCTTGCCGTTATGCATGGTTCCTTCCTGTTTTCCATTTCAAACATCAGTTTAACAAACACTTATAGTTGTTGTGAGATGAAGGTATGAGGTAGGTGTGACGATAACACATGGCGTGGTGGAAGTAAATGAAAAAGAAGTGTTACGTCAAGAATGGAAGAAGAGTTGGGCATTGGGCAAACGACAGGGCGGTCTTCATCATCAGGTTCCGTGGGATGCTGCAATGGCCAAAACTCCATGTCCACTTCAACCACCTGAGCTTCCATTCCTGATCTTCTTTCAGCCTTAATGCTTCCCTCTTCTGTTTCTGAAACGCTGCTGCTTTGCATTTCTCTCTACTGAACAACAAGTTCAGAAAAAGGGAGCCTCAAAACACAGTGTTCTCAAAGAGATGGAAAATGAATGAATGGTATGGAAGGGGTAAAGAAATGAAATGACAGGAAAACACAGAAAATCTTTTGGGTTAGGAGAGGGGAAAAACAAGAAAGTGCATTAAAAGGAGCAGTCCCAAAGAGAGATGGCGTTTGTGGGGTTCACTTGTGGCACTTAAGAGGAAGAAAGATTCCCCCACCCTCTTCTTCTTTTTGGGATTTTCTTTAACTTCTTCATTTTCTTTGGTTTCTTTAACTTTGTTGCTTTAAGGAACAGCAGGCTGTTTCTTTGAAAATCTTGCCATTTATGCTTCCGCTTTTCTGTCTTTATCCTCCTTGGTTTTGGTGAAGATTTTGGATTTCAACTTACATAGTTTTTGTATAGTGTTAGTCTAACATTTGAATTTAGTTTTTGTTTTGTTGAAGTCTGTGTTAACTATCACATCATCCTTCTATTAGGTATCTGTTGTTAACATTTGAAAACCTACCACCTCTACAGTTCTTTCTTGAATACAACTTAACAAAATTTATGCACAATCATATGTTGAATAGTATAAAACTATCATATAAAATAAGAGAGAGAAAAAAGACAGATCCAACCGTTATTGATTGATCGAGAGAGAGAGAGAGAGAGAGAGAGGTTGAAATGCACATGCAATTCCCTTTTACCTGTATGTGTATTTTGTAAAAGACAAGGATGTTGTGCTGTTGCAGCTTTTTGTCTGCCTAAGCATACCCTCATTGGTTCATTTGTTCCCTCCCCCTATTTTTCACATCATACTTTTTTTTTTTTTTTTTTTTTATACCAAAAGTACATAAATATTGCGAGCGATAGATAACAATTCAATAAAGTTTTTTTTGTTTGCCTTTATATTTGTTTTCTGTAGTAAACGTCTTTTACCCATTTGAAGAGGAATATCAATATTTGTCTTGCTTTTTATAAGAATTACACACATCTGGTATATGGTGAAATCTAGTTTCTGTTGAGTTCAGTAATCCTTAACAAAAAGCAAAGAAATGATCGAGAAAGAATTTTGGTGTCTTGAAACGGTGCTTTCCCAAAGTGATTGCAATCGTTACGTTAGGCTTTAGAGAAAGAAAGGATGGATCTACAAAGAATTTAAACCCTTTTCCAAGTCATCCTTGATCGGAGTGATTGCAACGGTTAAATTTGACACTTCCAAGATGACTACTTTTGCTCAACTCGATATTAAACATATCAAGAGTCACTCTCGCACAGCCACACAAACATCAAATCCAGCTTTGTGCGCTAACAATGCCACCGATGTGTGCATGTCCATGTTCGCTATTCAGCCCTTGCCATATTGCGAAATCTGCTATGCCATCCACGCCACCTACCTATTCTGGGAGCACATCTCCTCTGCTCACAAACACTTTCTAGCATGCTTAAAACAAATAGTTGAGGCCTCCTTGTTTTCCTTCACTTATTTATAATGTAAACAGTGTTGTTCCTTTAGTCAATTTAGGGGTTTCTTAGTTTCTTCTTTTTTTTTTGGGTTTTGAAGTATTATATTTAGGCGCTTATGCTTTAAAAATATTTGGTTTTTTGGTTGAAAACCATATATGAGACAGATACTAAGACACTAAAACGAGAACCAAGTTTTTTAGAAACAGAAATGATATCCCTTTAAAAACGGTGAAAAATGGCTAAATCGTTGAAAAGGGTAAGAATATAACACAAAGGATTGCACACTTGGGACAAGTAAAATCTAGTTAAGCTGTACAAAGGCCCATAACTGACCTTGAAGCTCAGCTACTTCTAGCATTTGAGACTGCCACTATCCCAGAAGTGGAAGAGTCAACTACCATATGGAACACTGTATATGGATTGACTGGTTCTCCAATGGGCGAAGCTCCGAAGGAGTTCTCTCCTTAAATTGGAAGCATAATCTTCCCAAGCTTCTGCTACTGCAGCAAGCTTAGCCCACCCCAACCGGTGTTGCTTCTCCTTGACATCAGAACTAGCATACAAGAAGACTGACTCCGCCAGTGCATCGTCCTTTGAGAACTCGGATTTAAAGAAATCGACTCCCACATTTCTCTTTGGAGATAAACCTTCTGCATAGCTTGAATCTTCCTTGGAGTCAGTAGAATCCAATTCTTTGCCTTTCCAATATAGAAATTGCACTACCTGTTTAAGCAGGTGTAGGTAACTCGTTTTAGCAGACTTTTTCAATGAGGAAACTACATAAAACGAAGTGAATTAATTATAGTATTTGACGATTCTGAATATGACAACTTTTTTTTTCTCGTTACGTGAAAAACGACCAGATTCTGCTATATAATCACAAGGGGGAATAATGTTGAGGGTGATTTCGACGGAATACCTGAAGTGCATGCAAAATGCTATCAAACTTCTGAGAGAAGATCTTATTACCCCGTACTAATTGTACATCCTGTGAGAATAAATCTGGATACTCTGACAAACTATGGTCCTGAGGAAAATAAATGCCGTATCCTAGCGCATGCAGTCTTGCCCAACATATATCAAAACCGAACTTGAAATTTGGATCGTCTTTTGGTGAAAACCAATACATATTACAGGATGGAGGCTGAGGTAGGCATGAGTCAGGAAGACGATCGTGTAAATGGCTTTGTGAAAGAAGGGAAAGAAGTTTTGCATCTTCATCATGGGAACTATCACGGGTGAACCATAATGTCAGCGTAAGTCTTTCTCCACTGGTTACCTATCCAAGGAAACCACGTGGTAAGCAAGATGAAGTACAGCTGTCTACGAGAGGGCTACTAGCGACTCTCTTGAGGATTAATCAACATGCATGATCCCTCAATTACAGTAAAAGAAAAACAGCAAGAAAGAATTAATGTGCTCTCTCTCGGCTTCGATGACGAGGCTTTTTTGAATTACCCTTTGATCTTATTTTACTGGATTGAAGCCTTTTTTTATATAGTTTGACTTCCATTTGTCGGCTTTAATTTTATATTCCTTGTATTGTTTCATTTCCTCTCAATAAAAGTTAGATTATTCCTCAAAGAACCATGGGAGAGATTTGATGTTATTCATTTAAACAATGATTTCACATGCAGATTCAGAGGGACAGAGTGTTTGGACATACCTCATCAACAGAATGAACATTGAGGCTGTCAGCCGTGTACATCACACAATCCTGATAAAGCAAAACATGTATTAACTATACTTGATTGGTACATTGTTTCAAACTACTAGCAAATATAATCCACCACCTTCAATTATTCAGACAAATATGGCATTTCTTGTAAGAGGAAAAACAACTTTTCATTGATATAGATAAATGAACTAAAAACCTATCACCGAAATCCAACAATTCAGAGAAAATGCCCTTTTCTGCATGACTCATCTCCATTTACATCAAAGTCAAACGTTCTTATAGAATATCCCCACAATTAGAATTAATTATAATTTACAAAGAAGGCATAATTACTAAAATAATTAGAAAGGGAACTATAAGAACAGCAATGAAACATGGGCTATAATTCATACTGCCGAGGATTAAGCTCCACTTATTATTTCTATTGACCAAAAAATACTGAAGATTGCTTCGCTCAAAAGAGCACAAGCACATCCTTCAAAGAAGCATATGTACCATTTTCGAGTTCTACAATATGAGAGGATGAGATTTGAACCTCCACCTTTCAATTGAGGTTTTAATGTCTTAACCAATTGAACTACATTCATGTTGACAAACATAGAAATGTACAATTTTTTTTATTAGAAAAATTGCTGTATGTACCGAGTAAAATAAATGGAAGAGGTAAAAAGCTTTTATCAATCAACTTACTCCACAAAGAGGCGAGATAGTTTTTGGTTCCCCGTCCTGAAAGTGAAACAGCCCACCTTCGAAATCTACTCCATAACTATTCAAGTAACACACTGCCTTTTGCCAAATACACGAAGACAACCATCAGCTAGAGTACTGTAATGATGGAGAAGAAATACCAAATGAATTTCAGGGAGAAGGTACTATAGGAATTGAACCACCCTCCCCCTTGTCAGAAAGAAAAACAGAAAAGAAGTCCAAGAGAGAATAAAAAGGATATAAAACTACAATTGAAATGAAAGAATAGGTTGTCGAAGGGATAGCAAAAAATGACATCTGACTTTCCCAGGAAAGATTGGTCCACATACTGTAAATTCACGTTGTTTTAGATAGGGCCGGTTGTCGTCACTATGCCATCCAATCCTTGCTCCCCTGGTCCAGCTGAACTACGACAGAATGTTAGAAGAAAAATACAGATTCTACTACACTTTTTTTTGAAAATGAAAATTAAATCAAATGAAGTATTCTATATAGTTCACAAAAGAGAGCGAAAAAAAAGATATTTCATTGAAAAATATATAGACATTAATCACAAATGAGATTGCCAGAACAAGAAAGAAAAGAACACTCCCAAGTGAATAAAAAAAAACAAGATAGAATGAATCCCAAATTTCACAATGATTTTTGTATCAATCTTGAGAATTTCTTTTATTCCATTCTATCCAAATATTCAAAAGAAACGGTTGTAATGGCATTCAACCAACCCAGTATTATTGCAAGTATTTTTGAGGAAGAACCAATCACTGTTACAAACTATGAAGCAAGATTTTGAACTTTTTATGTATTCGGGTCTAGGTAAGTCGTTGAAATTCCAAGATTTAGTCCTTCCACGGGTCATACTAAACACACAGAAATTAAACCGTGGATCACAAGAACCAACCTGCGAAGGCCCATACCAGACTGGGCTGATTATAACGTACTCCTGTTACATGGCCGTCAGACTCCCTGAACTAAAGTTAACCATATAGACGATTTTCAATGACAAAGAAAGACTCAGCCTTCTAATTTATGGCCGTCTGACTCTCTATGTTCATTCTTCAAAATTTGGGGTTTACGCAAGAAGAGACTAACACCCATTTAAGCCTTTAACACATAAGGAGGAAAAAGAATAACCTTATCAAGCCAGTGAACTCGACGAAGAGCTCATATTCACAGCCAAAGAACTCCTCCGCTTTCTCCTTCAACCGCTCTGTCACAAATATTGAACTCTAATCAAAATTAGGCATAAACATTACCAAAAAGGAAAAAATGGAGAAAATGGAGGAATGGGTGGTCATACCTCTAATCGAAACAAAAGGCATGATCAATTGAGCAGAATTAGAGACAACAAGATGCAAAAGAGTGGTGGAGAAGACGTATGGTCTATAACCCACCGTACAGCAGCTCTTATGGATGAACTCCAGTTCCCTGCATTCTTCGAGGGTTAAGAAATTTTCCAGAATGAGACGCCACCGCTGATTGATCTCCGCTTCGTCTCCCATTTTCATCCAATTCTCCGTCTCTCGTTTCAATGGCATTAATCGGATGGAATGCCCTTGACCATAAAAATATACCTTCAACATATACAAAGATACAACGATTTGTGTGACATATATAAAACAATGTTCAACTGTGCTGTTTGAGAATGATTCTAAGGATTACTATAATATTAAGGAGAGTCAATTGGGGATTACAGGTTTTGGAGAGAGAATTACCGAAAGCGATATCCCAATTTGCAACAACAATGGAATGAAATCCTTAATGGCGAGGCGACTGCTTCTTCTCCATGCATCCCTCTCTCGTAAACACGCGCCATCGATGAGAAGCCGGTACAAAATTTAAATAGAGAACAAAATAGATATTAAACATGATATGTTTATATATTTAAAAAAAAACAGAAAAATTGAAAGAATTTGTAGGATAAAAGAATTAGCAGTCTATGGTTTAATTTTTGGTAAACTTAAGTATTAGTGTTAATCAAAATTAATAATCTTTTTAACACACGGATTTCAACAATAGGCAAGCTATATGCATAAAATTGAGCTAAATGCCTTTTCTTTTCTTTTCTTTATATATATATATATATATATATATATAAATAAATAAAAAGTGAATTAAATTTAAACATATTATTTTAATAATACAAAATAGAAAAATGCTTCAAAAAGGAATTTGGCAACCCTAGACCCTTTCCATCGTTCTCTCTCACGTGCTCCACCTTCTCCTCCTTCCTCTCGCCGGCTGCTCCTCCCTTTTAGTAGCTCTGTTCTGTCTTCCGACAGTGCCGCCGCCGCCTCCCTCCTAGCGGATTTTCTCTGATTTTCTACTCTCTTCTTGTTACTGCTATTCTCCCAGTCTTCATGTGCGTCTTTTTTCTCGATTGAACTATTCGGATTAAGACATATGTCTGCATTTTTATTTATGACGTATGTCTGTCAATTGGGCTTTCATCATCTGTGTATCTTTTGCTAATAATTAACTTATTCTTTGCTTGTGTTTCGGGAGCACAGAGTGAGATGGATAGACGGACGAAGAAGCGCGACAAAAGGCTTCGCGAGAGTAACACCGAACCTGCCGTTGCAAAGGGTTTGTTTTTTACTTGCTACCTTGTATACTATATGCTTACTTTCTCATCACTTCTTCAGTTATCTTCGAACGGACTAGAACAAGGGTTGAAGAATATCTGCTTCTGGACTCCATTAATATCTTGAACTCCTAATTGTGTCTTCCTTCCTTCGGCACAGCATGTTTTTGTTTATTGGTTTTTAGTGCTTACCCCTATGGGTGATGGGGTTACCTATTTAATCCTCATGCTCTGTTTTCATCCATGTCCACTTTCGTTCACTCCTTTATTTTCTAGAATCGAAGGGGTTTAATATTATTGGTCATCTCGTATCGTTACTGAATTTCATTTCTTTTGTTTTTTCAGGCAGTATCGCCACTGAAGTTGACGAAGAAAAGAAGCGGAAAAGGTCATCGAAGAGGAGACTTCAACAAACGTCTTCTGATGAGACCGATCAACTCAATGTTAAGGCAGTAAATGCTTTAGAAGCACGTAACGGTATGTCAACTTCCTATGTTCAGTACCGCAACCCTTTAGGTCCTTGTGAAAATAAATTGTTTTGTTATTAATTGGGACATTCTGTCTACGTCCTCTGATAGCATGAGTTAACTTTCTTTTTTATGGTTGCTATGAAGCTTTTGCTTTCTTTGGTCTCATCTTAAATAAGGGTGGTTTGAGGCTTGTTGATTTGGATATGCATGGGGTATTGCTAGTTGAGTTGGTTAAGCCATTGTTTTCTTGTTTAATATCTCGATAATTAGGCGAGTTTGGTGAGGGATTTCAATTTTCCTAGGGTTCTTGTGGTGAAAATGAGTGAGGGTGGCTTTTCCAGGTTTGTGAGGGAGTTTAATACGCTTATCAAGGAATTAGGATTTGAACTCTTGGACCTTCCTCTTGTTAATAGTAGATTTATGTGGCCCGACTTAATGACTTGGAGTTACTTTTCTTTTAATCATTGGCCTATCTTTTGGGGTATAGGTCATACGTTTATCAAGGAATTAGGATTTGAACTCTTGGACCTTCCTCTTGTTAATAGTAGATTTATGTGAACCGACTTAATGACTTGGAGTTACTTTTCTTTTGATCATTGGCCTATCTTTTGGGGTATAGGTCCTATTTCGTGTGGTCCTGCCCTTCTAGATTTGGAAATATATTGCTCTCTCATCCCTCTTTAACATGCTCATTCCTTTTCTAGTGGTGACTTTTAAGGAGTCATTGATTATTTGGGGCTATCAGTTTTCTTATTCTCTTTGGAGTCGTTGCCTTGTGCTTGGGGTGGTGTGGGTGCATAACAAGGATTGTCTAACCATGATTAAGGAGATCTTGATGGACTCACCCTTTTGTGAAAAGGGAAGAGTGTTGTGGCAATGTTCCTTCTCTATTTTATGGGAGGTGCGGCTTGAGAGGATTTACATTATGTTTAGAGGGGCTGAGAGATATTTGGAAGAGCTGTAGGAGGTGTTGAGGTTTAATAGCTCTTTATGGGCATCCATGAATTTTATTTTTTGTTGTAATTATCAGATAGGTTTTATTCTTTTGGATCAAAGTTCTTATAGATAGTCGAGGACTCCTTTTGTGGCTTTGTTTTGTATGTCTTTGTACATTGTTTACTTTTTTCAATAAAAGCTTGGTTTCATGTCAACAAAAAAATCTCTCCTTTCCTAGTGGGGGTGTGTCGAAGATGATGGTGGGAGGGTTTTCAATTATGTGAAAGTTGTTCTCGGTAAAGTTGGTTTTAAGAGTCTGGAACAGGAATAGTGATGTGTTTGAGGGTTGTAAGTTAAAAAAAAACAAGAGCTGTTAGTTAGTGGGAGTCAAGGTAAATCAATAGGTGTTTCACATAGAGTGGGGAATAAATCATTTAAGGGGGAAATATTGTCTTCTGTACTTTTCTTGTACACTATGCCCCTTTGTGGAAGACTGAAAGCCTTAAAATGGTGCCAATTTTAGATAAGGATAGGGGAAGTCTAGGGGCCCTTTTTCATACTGGAAGAGATTAGGAAGATGGTTGTGGTTCTGAGTGACTTGGTGAAGGTAGAGTTGGATGATGTGTTTCAGCGAGTTAGATGAGAGAGGTATCTTGTACTATAATAATCCGAGGTTTCATTGTGAAATATAATTTGTACAAGAGCATAAAAAACAAACAAACAGCATCTAACAAACTACAGAGAGCAATCCCAATCCAAAAGAATAACACCTAAATAATAGAATGCAAATAGGTTGATAAAGGACAGTATGACTAATATATTTGAAGTATTACAGCTCTACTAATATTAGCATAGTCTCAGGGATATTGTTAGATGTGATGTCTTTTTGTTGTGGGTGTTGGTTGCTCCATTTTTTTAAATTATTAGATAGCTCTTATTCTTTCAAACTGGAATCTGTTTCTTAGATAGTGTTTGGACTCCTGTTGTGGGGCTGTTTTTTTTTTAACCCCCTTGTATATTGGTCAATGAAAGTTTGATTTGTCATTAAAAAAAAAAAAAAAAGAAAAAAAACTGAGCCAGAAGTTGTCGTATTTGATCTTTGGGGTCTAGCGGTGTGTTTTGTGTACTAGTGCTTCTGAGGGTGCCCGAGACATTGTTGTGCCAAGGAACATTGCTTAGCACACCTTCAAGACTAGAGGATGCTTTGGTATGAGATGAATAATATAATCTTTTGAGTGATCAGCCTGGGTTAAATTCTATTTGTCTCTTTGGGTTTACGTGACCAAGGAGTTGTGTAATTATTATGTCTTCTTTTAGAATTCTACCAACGATCTTTTCATTATTTTCTTTCTGTACTTCTTTGTCACTGTCATGTAATTTATTAACTTGTTTATCTTCGTCCTGCAATTTAAGGCATAAGTGTAGTCAAGGAAGATTCGGATCAATTTGATGTGGAGGGAGAAGATGCTGAAAAGCCCAGGAAAACTGGTACTTAAACTGCCTCAACCTTTTTTGCAGCTGTCAGTCAATGTTACTGTTGCTGTGTGTGCTACCTTGGGAGTCTTTAGACATAACTGGTAGTTTTATTTGTAGATGAAGTAAAGAAAGAAAGGAAAAATAAAAAGAACCGCAAATCCTCAAACAATTGTGAAAACTCATTAGAAAATGGAAGAGCTACGCAGCCGGAAGCTTATCAGCCCCTGGAGGACAGTGGTGCATTCTTGAAAGGTATTAAAAATAGGGATGGAGTTTAAGTGATATATTTTACTACTAGAATATCTCTTCAACTGATGTACTAACATAAAAGTTTCTTGTAGCCAAAAAATCTTCCAAAAAGAAAAGAAATGATTCAAGTTCTCTGGATCCCAAGAAGTCGATAGAATCAAGTGATGATGTTAATGAAAATGATGTCTATCAAGTTTCTGTTGGAGATGAAGACACTTCAAAAGGGATGAAAAGTAAGAATTATGGGCATAATGTCATTTTATCTCAATGCTGCTCAATCTTCCCGCTTATTGTCAGAATTGTTTTTTATTATTAGTACCTCGGTTGTAATAACCTGCCCTTCCCTCTCCTGATGGCTGTGAAATAAACGTTCTCTTTGACTTTTTCTTAATCATTTGCTGAAGCATTGGCCTGCTTTGCGAGTTTAGAGGGAGATTACTGTATCATTCACATTTTAATAAAATATTCTGTTGGGTCTTTTAAATTTCACATTGAGAACATTTTGGTCTGCAGAATGGATCAAAGAATATTATGAAAGTAGACCGGGATTGAAGGTATTGCAACAACGTATAGATGATTATATAACTGCACATGAGGCACGCCTAGAACAGGTAATGAATGTTTCCTTGAGCAATGACTCAACCTAAACCGTACATCCTTATTTATCATGGCAAGTTCTACCTCTTAAACTGATTTCATGAATTTTGAGTGTGATTTGGAGCTATATATCCCTTTAGGATGAAGAACACCAAAATACTTTTAAGATGCTGAAGATACTTGAGCATTGATTATGTCATCTAATAACAGTCATGCATCAGATGTGCATATTTAGCCGTGTATTGAGCTGTTTCACTTTGTTGTCACACAGGAAAAGGAAGAAAGGGAGGCTCAAGCAGCTGAAGGGGGATGGACAGTTGTTGTACATCAGAAAGGGAGAAAAAAGACCACGGATGCTGAAAGTGGGGTTACTGTGGGTTCGGTAGCGCAAAATGCTGTAGAGGATAAAATTTCTAAAAAGAAGCGGAAAGAAGTTGGGCTGGATTTCTATCGGTTCCAAAGAAGAGAAGCACAGAGGAATGGTATGGACAGTTATACTCCTAAAATCATAATATATTTTATTCACACTTTCATATTTCAGCAGTCCTTGGGATTTTTTTATTTCGTGGTACTGGAGAAAGTAGTCCCAAGCGACTATTGGAATGGAGATTGTGTGTTTAGTGTCATTGCCTAATGTCTCATTCATTTTAACGTAATTTTTTTTTTATCCGTTGTGCTATGTGTTCGCCATTGTTTTCCTTGAGCTTTCTGTATTCAGTTGGGGCCATATCAATGGTTGGTCTGCATGCATGCAAATTTTATTGGTTCAAAATTAAATGTTTTCTTCTTGGATTTTGTTTTACTCAAACTCTAGTATTTTCCTTCTAGGAGGGTTATTTCTTTTGGGAATGTGCTAATACATAGCTGCTAACTTGGGGTGCGATAAACACCGGATATTCTATTCTAATTTCATTCGTCAATTTCTCATACAAGTGGATCGTTACAAGTGAAAGGAACAGAAGATTTTACTTCACTTAATATCTTATTTGTTGCAGAGATTCTGATGTTACAAAGTAAATTTGAGCAAGACAAGAAACGGATACAGCAATTGAGAGCTGCTAGAAAATTCCGCCCTTATTGAAGTTTTTGACCTACAACCACAAGGGCATGGCGGCTGGAGACTAGATTTTTTTCTTTTTTCCTTTTTCCTTTTTTCCTTTTTTCCTTTTTTCCCTTCTTACCTCATATTTGTCGATTCAATTATAAACCATGGCGAATGATTTCAGGTGGCTAGGGTGTGTGGTTGCACGACATGGTTAAAGTGTACGTCTGCCTCTGTTTTGACTTGCAATGTTTTTAACACTTGGCCTTTCTATTTTTTGAAATGTAACATTAGTCTTTGTGTTTCATATTTAATGGACATCTTCCCAAGCAATCTGCATTTAAATCAAGCCGAGTGTATGCAATCTCTTTAACTAAATGTGATTTGGTTGTCTACCTACCAATATAAATTGATTACAAATAGAATTTTAAAGTCGCATTATTGAAGGTTTTCTAATTAGATTCGATTAAAATTTTACAGGGTAGATCATAAACTAACGAAAGTGTGCTATAAGAAACATCGCCTAAAATCAATATATTCCCAAGCCAATTAAAAGTCGTGTTATATTTAGCTAGGATGAGCTGTGTGGGGAAGCACTAAAAATCAATATTTATTTAGGGTTTAGGATGTAGGGAGATGCAGTGTTAGCATCTTTTGAGCATATTAATCCAAGTATAATAATTGTAAGCAGATATAACCTAAGTTTAACCGTTCATGGTCACTGCTATCAGATATTGTACGCATTTGCTTGGGAGAGGTTTCTATTCTTGTAAACAATGTTTCGTTCTCCTCTCCACGGATGTGAGATCTTATAATTCATCCCCTTCAAGGCTAGTGTCCTTGTTGACACATCACCTTGTGTCCACCTCCTTCAGAGCTTAACCTCCTCGCTTGAATATCGCCTGGTGTCTGGTTTTGATACCATTTATAATAACTGAAGCCCACCGCTAACAAATACTGTGCTTTATCTAAGATTTTCACTCTTATAAACGTTCTTCTCTCCAAATGACGTGGGATCTTAAAGGATTTATGAAAATTAAACCCGTGCGGTTTGGAAAGCCTAAATTAGTTCTTTTTAACAAACAGGGACTGTGCTTAAGAACCTAAATGTGCTCCGTTGATTGAAAATTACTCACGGCAGGCTTCCAATAAAAAGCTTTAGTTAATAGGATGTGCCAAGTGTTCTCGGCCCACAATCCATGCCTCAAGTCTCAATTTGCATATAATTTGTCTCACTCATCTCAAGCCTAATGATACATCGAGAGGTCTTCTTGGGGCCTATAATTTAATGATACTTCACGTACTAAACAAAAATCTAAATACACTTCCCAGAATTTTTTTTAAGTATGTAACAGAAACCTAAAACCAACTAACAGCTGCTGTTCTGATGCTTGATGATAAATATATCACCGTCCAAACAAATTCACAATCTTCTGCTGACCAAACCGTGATTTGAATTCAACTTGTTGCTCCGGATTAATCATCAACATCCATAGAGTTTTATGAGCTGCTGTGCTGAAGGGGCTGTGAGGGACAGCTATCCTCGTTAGCTGGTGTCGTGTTCAGGATCTTCCTAAGAGACCGATATTGCAACCGAACATTTTCTCCAGTCCCAATGATTTTTAGTAAATACCTGAAGGTTAAGGAAGAAAATTATAACTACAATGTCTGATGAGACAACGAACTATGTAGTCCTATGGAAGAACATGAACCATCACTTTGTAGTATGCGTACTAACCAGCCATTCAGACACTGGGATGTGATGACCGCTTCTTTCCCAACAAATTTTTCTGGTGTTCTCCTATTTCCCTAAGATATACCAGAACGCTTCTCAAATTCTAAACTTCATCAGGTAGTTAAAAAGAAAAAAGTCAGAATATGATAGAAAATTGTTCACCTTTATTAGGACCTTTTCATTTACTGCAAAGGGGTACTGAACTCCTCGATGGATTCCATCATCGATGGCAATATCACCGTTTTCCTGAAGATGATTGTATTAGGTCTTTATAAACTAGAAAAATTACAACATTAGGCAATGTCTTGCATCTGAAATCTTGAACATAGCGCATAAAGATTATTTAGAATACCAAATAGCCAGGAGCTCAAGGAATTCTTTTCTTTTCAAGTTGTAACATACATAATTTAGGTTGCAATTGAGAACTCAAACAATTGATTTATGATACCTTGTCGTAGACTGAACCAATCGTTTCACTCAAGTTTTTCAGATGGTCAAAATGTTGACATCTTCGATCAAATTACACATCAGTAATCAAGTTCTTGCTAACTGTATGAGAGCCTACACTACTAAAAGGCATCTGCTACCAAGCTAAAATTCATATAATATCAGATCGATTATATCATAGTTTCCTTTTACAAATCATTAGATCAGTTTTAGGATAAAAATCAAACAGCCGTATAACATTTTTTCAAGCCATGTTATCTCAACTTACAGTTATATAAAATGACGTGCGTACTTTAAACCTACTCCTCAACAGGCATGATGAAACATGATTTCCAAAATGTATAAGCTGTTTACATATATACGATTAGACAGGCAAGATAGAAACATCGAGTCTTTTATGGCTTAGAAGTTTCCTCCCCCAATTTTTACATTTGTAACTATGTTTTTACGTCCAATTTCCCGGATGGCACTTCAGAATTAGATAAACATCTTGCATGGATGATTCTTTCGGTCAAAGCCAACTCTATTATTTGAGGTCACAATTTCCAATTTCCAACTTCCCACCAGTATTATTGATGTTTTTCACAAAAAAAGATAATAATAATAATAATAAATAAATAAATTACCCTGTTTAATCTTCTCATTGGATCCATCTGGTCGCCCATTTCCTTCCGACGCTTCCTCAATGCTGCATTGTGGAATAGCCTCCTGTCATCTTCTTGCTTCACAGCTGAAGCTGCGGCTCTAAGTGCTGCAGATGGAATTACACTTCTATAACATGAACTTTTTTAAAAAGGAAAACACTTCTCACAACTGTCATATCACAAAAAAAAAAAAAAAAAAAAAAAAAAAGAGAGAGAGAAGTTGAAGAAGAAAAAGAAGAAAGCGTAGTTGATGGATTAATTGATATTAAGGGAAACCACAAAAACAGAAAATAGTACTGAATTCTCATTTATGTTTTATAGTCCTTAACATACTTGATACTTTTATTCTTATAACCAGAACTCCCAAATCTCACTGTTCACCAACTTCGACACTTTGACTACTACATGACTCTTATACCTATTTATGACTTTTTAGATATGTGATTAAACATAATGTTTTACTCGGAAGAAGAGCAAAGACAAATGTTAAAGAGTTATTTGTATTTTCCATTCCCCCTTCTAAGTTTCTTATATTTTCAATTCTGTTACGAAGAAAATTTAATTATTTTGGTTAATAATTTGGTGAAATAAATAAGTAATTTATTATTCCAAGTGTCACCTTTTTCTTTTCTTTCATATGTTCCAATAGTTTATGAAACATTTTAAGTTTAACTAATATCTGACGTTTTTGAAAGAACCAATGCATTCTTGATACTGTTATAATTTTAAAATAAATTACTGATCAACAATTAAACGCCTTTTTTTTCTTTTTCCTTCCTCCACAAACATCATTCAATGAAGTTTTCAAACGCTCTGTTTTCTTCACTTTTATTGTTCTCAGCAACTCACTTTGAATCATTACCAAGACAGATATTCTTATGGGTTAAAATGATCTCAGAAAATTTCACACCGACCATCTGGTCAAATCCAAGTTTGAATCATTGGGGTCAAGAGAACTTCAAAAAAGTTGAAAAATAATACCTATGAAGCAGAAACATTGTGTTCTATTAGACGTGTCTCAAACACTGCCTTATACCTCTTAATTTGTTCAACACGAAGTTAGACAACATAACAAAACAATTACAGATATTTTTTAACACACAAATTTAATTATACATGCATTTTTATACGAACACTGAATTATTTATTTGATCTTTATTATTTGTTTGGTAGAGTTCTTTTAAGGGATTCCAAATCATGAAAAGTAAACGATTTCACCAATTTCACTCACATATATAAAGGAAGCTATGAAATATTACAAAAAGAGAAACACTATACAAGAAATCAAAGTTAAGAGAGAGAGAGAGAGAGAGAGAGAGAGGGGAGGGTTCATGACGCAAAGTTCACAAGTATGATGTTAACGAACCTATATTAGGAATCAAAGACCCAGCATCAATTTCTGAGTTGCATAATGTGCACCTTGACTGTCAAAGCAAACAAAAGTTCAAGTTACCATTTGTATTTGTTGGTACCTTGACATTAGAAATTCATAAAACGATATCAAATAAAAAATTCATAATCCCATCTGGATTTTTTTTAAAAAAATACAAGAGGACAAAACAATGAAAAACAACTAGCGAAACAAACAAAAATACAGCAAATAATCTGCAAGAAAGAGCTCCCACTCTGGCTAAAAATGCAGAAACTCTTATGGAGGAAAGTAAAACAAAGACACAAAGGCTTTAAATTCAGAAAAGCAGCTCAAGAAAATGAAGGCAAGAAATGATATTAGACTACTAGAACAGTAAATCTCGATAAGAGATGAAATTTCTTTAGTAACCAAGAGGGTGGGCTCCACTTGAAACCTTCTCTAACCTGGTCATCCACAAACTTTAGAGAAGGTACAACATCTTCTGAAAAAAGGAGTGCTAAGGATTGTTCAAGATTATCATTCTCACAATGAATTTCTTGATCAGTTTTTTTTTGTTCCTCAATGCTTACACTGATTAATGATTCAACACTAGAGTCAATAATAAATTGTGAAAAATAAGATGGAACATCTGAAAATTTGGAGGAAAGTCATGCACCTTTTTTCAGAATTAAGTCTGAACCTAGAATGGAGAATGACAAATGAACAAAATTATGAGAAGGCTTATGCAACGTTTGCTACAAAGACTCCTATTCCAAAGGGCAGCTGACTGAATCAGAGGAACCACAAGGTGTAGGCAAACATCTTCAACAAAATATAGGTTAGTCTTTAAAATTTCAAAACCTGTTTTTTCAAGACTTATCCTATCAGATCATAGAACATCTTGAGTTACCAAATGAAAATCAGTTGGTTGCAACTAATGATACAATAGGATCTGACTGCCAAGGCATCAAAAATTTAACTGCCTTAATAAAATTGAAAGAGTTTGGAACCATGAAAATTCAATTGTCAGATGATTTTTTCTTGTATAAAATTTCGAATAAGTAACAATAAAATGGTCTTTAATAACATTGATCGTTGGGTGTTCACTTCCATTATTTAAATCCAAATCACTTCCATCAAAAGTTGGTCCAATAAAATTAGGAGAAATAACACCTTATGAAAATGGCAATTTATTTTGTTTGTGCAAGAAACCGACATGTAATGTTTTGTATCTCACAAAATTATTGTTGCTCAGAAAACAAGATCATTCAAAATATCGATCTTATCATGCACTGAAGGGACTTTAAACTATGAACTCTTGTCATCAAATCATCTTTGTTTGAGAAAGTGAACCCTTCATCTTTCCATTACCTGATTAAATCTCCTTACATCCACCAAATTAAAAAATTCTTCAATAGATAAAACATCACGATTAAAGTTTCTCATGCTAGGACAGTCTGTTGCAACAATATCACCAAAACGGAGGGAAAATTTTCTAATATTACCATCCTTAACTTCAATTTCTGCTGGGATGAAGCCACAAATATTTTCCTCTACTTTTATTGGGGTGATTAGTTGCTTGGGAGGAAATGTTTACCAAATTACAAAAGTGTTGTCCTATTGCCTCAAAGAAAGAACATTTCCAATACGGAAAAGATAAAATCTTTAAGGAGATCCATCCTCCGTAGCTCTTTACAAACTCCAGGAGGGAGTGTTTCTTGTCGGACCAATGCTCAATTTTCAAATGAAGATTGCCCATAAGCCTCCACTTATCATTGAAACTTACTCTAAAAAAGAAGCCTTGTTAGACATGAATGGATTTAATAAAATTCTAGCGAGGAAATAATCTTCTAAGGTGATTTCCTCACCCAATAGGAATATCTTCTCTTTTTTTCCCAAAAAAGAAACAAACTCACGCATATGTATTTTCATGTAGGTTTTTCCCATTTGAGTGCCCAGCCAAATCGTTTTCCTTCCTGTTTACTTCACCTTGGAAATTTAAAATCTCTAAGAAAGTTCAATTTTTGTTTGGCTTATTGTTCACAGAGAGATTAACATGATTGACTTCATTCAATGGTGAATTCTATTATCTCAAAGCCTCTGTGGTGTGTTCAGGGTAATTTTGTTTGAGAATTTGTTTCATGTGCACAGTGAATTTGGCTTGTAATAGGGCTTATCAGTCGATGATGACAGTGGTGCTCCATCCCCCTTCCTGAGATAAAGTTTTTTTTCTTTTTCTTTTTTCCTTTTTGGATATTCCACGGAGCACTTAGCTTTAAAAAAAAAAAAGATAAATTTTAGGGGTTAGAAATTTGTGGGTGGAGGCGTGGGTCTTGGCTTACTTCGATGCCTCTCCTTGAATGCCTTACCACCGAGAAGTCTTTGTAATTATCCTTTGTTTCTAATTTTTCTGATTCAACAATAGTTCAAGGTGGAAATTCAACCATTTGACCTTTTGGTTGAAAATATATTACCTTAACCAGCTGAGCAATGCTCAAGTTTAACTCATTTGGTAACCTTCTACAGTGAGCATCATCAAAATCTCGCCCATACTTTCATCCCTTCATCTTAAACTGAAAATTTGGTTTATTTAAAAAAAATTATACACACACACACACACAACAAAATAGTGAGCAGCGAATAAAACTAAAAGCGAAGGGATACCAAATGGGCTCTCCTAAATTTTAGATATTCTTCATTTAACTCACGGTAGCAAAGGGAATAAATATTGATAAGGCATGCTTTTTAAATCTATGTGGAAAGTGAGAAAGATCAAACACATATCCCGTAGATATAAACAATAGCGGAAATACCATAAGAAAAGAGGATAAATTAGGAGAAGAATGCCCGTACCGTCTCAATGACCCTCCTCAGCATAAGACCACCAAATGAATGTCCACACGAAACAAACATTGCATCCTCAAGGAATGCACCACTGGGAGTAGAGAAAAAGAGAAAATGGAGAAACATCAAAACATGAAGTTCTCCCAACATTGGTCAATACGAAATTTTTATGAAACCATGCACAACTTCACGTAATTCTGAATTTGATTATATTTAAGTAGCCACAACGAGAAGTCCTAACTTCCACACAATTAGTTACAATATAAAAACAATAAATTAGAGACAAAGTGGATGCGAAAGTTAGATCTGATATTTTTTTCAAGTGGTATCACCATGTTTTTTTTTTTCTATGTGAGATCTCAACTTTCTTTTTCTCCTTAAATAAAAAACAATAAAATATATACAAACTATGTACCAAGATTCTACTCTCTCTCTCTCTCCCTTTTTGGGGGAAATCTACATTTGGTTGATTGGGAAGAATCCTCTATACTATACTTTATTGTGATCTTCAACCTTTAGAAAGAAAAAAAAAAGTCTAGTTTTCTAACCCCCCCCCCCCCCCCCCCCCCCCCCCCCCCCCCCCCCCCCCCCCCCCCCCCCCCCCCCCCCCCCCCCCCCCCCCCCCCCCCCCCCCCCCCCCC